GCCACCATCAAGTGCCTCCTCATCGATCGTTTCCCTCTCGGGATGCACCAGCACGTCCTCATTTGCCTCTTCCAGTTGTGGGGACTTAGAGTCTGCCCCAGCGCTTTCTCTAATATGTATTAAGGTCGTCTCTCAAAGAACAAAGTCGCCCTCCACCGAGTCAACGACTATCAATATTTCTCCCCCAACGTCTATGACTCTCCTCTTACGAGGCCTTAGATCCCCATCACCGGGGAAGACATCATCGTTCTCGTCAACCAGCGAGAAGAGTTGAGGAGAAGGAGTAGTAATCAAGAGGGAGTAGGAACCAGAAGCCATAACAACCAAGACGGGGCAGGTACAATAGGCCTAGTATCCACGACGAGGGTGGTAGAAATTGGGGGCATAGCAGTTCTCCTCTTAAAAGAAGGCATAGGCGACCGACTCCTTCGAGAAGAGACGTAGAAGTTTGCAGAAGCGAGTCGACATACAATAAAAAGTGCAACGACCACGACCAGGAAAGAGAAGCTACATGCTGAGGGGAGAGCTAGTCGAAACGTCTTAAAAAAGCTCGGCCAGTCACGAATCCTTACGGCATGAAGGAGAATTTGCTCGACCCAATCGACAATGTGCATGACTAGAGGAGGAGGTTGGTTGTTGGCTGCAAGAAAGGAAAAATCATTAAAACTGGCTCAAAATAATCAAAGAGATGCGAAAGACGAAATGAGAAAAACTGGACACTTACGTGTGTAGTTCCAAGCCTCAAGAAAGTCGTCAACATTAGCCACAACGTCCTCGGACCTGGCATAAAATAAATCAAGCCATAATTGGTGACTGGCCTTGTCATCCATCTTCACCACCAAGAACTTATCTCCATGATGGAGAAGGTTCAACATCGTCACCCTATAAAATCCAGGGGCGAATAGGTGCACCAAGTGCCACAGCATCACTTCGACCCCAGCGAGCTCGGCAAATTTGGTCAACATCTTGATGAATTTGAAGAGGTTCTACCACTGTAGGGCCCAATCATACTCAAAAGAAGAGTTTGATCCTGGCTCAGAATAAACGTGTAAGGGGCGAGATGAGCGGGACAAACACCGTAGTGACGACAAAACTCTTCCACTAGTGGAGGAAGAGGAAGTGAGTAACCGATGAGGAATGGGTAAGCATATAGAGCATAGTACCCAGGGCGGTAAACATACGCTTCGTCCCCTTCAGTGGGACGATATGGTTGGGGAGGCTGAACTTGGCTTTAAATTCAGCCAACTATTCTGACGTCGTCGTCGATAGGAAATGCCCGGGTGTAGCATCCGGTGATCGGTGGAGATCAAAACTGGCTTCAGTGTTGCGGGGAAGTATCTCCTCCACCGACGGAAAAGTTTCATCTTCAACAATGGCAGCAACATTCTCCTCGTGAGTAGGAAATACAACCGCCAAGGGAGTAACACGACTCCCTTCACCAGCATCACATGATAAGTTTGGCATGTTTGTGAGATAATGAAGAAGAGTACTAGAAAGAGAAATTAGGATGCGGTGTAAGGCAACGAAGCAGAGAAGAAGGGTTCAGAGAGGAGGTTTGAAATCTCAAAACTTTGGGGGAGTAAAATTTCAAATTCATGTTTGACAACCCCTATTATAGAAATTGAGGCACCAAATCTGAAATATTTTGTCTTAATGGGCACTAAACCCGAAACGACTCATCATAATTAGCACCAGAATAGAAATGGCAGATACAATCAAAGGTCACACGCAAATCGACGCAATACGTCAGGAACAAGCATCATCATGACGCATGACGTCATGACGTCACCCCTTCTCTTGGACCAAACGGCTCCAACAGATCACCTGGGAAAGTTAAGGGATTTGAAACATGTGTCCCACAAAGAGCCACGTCGCTTGCTTGCTACAACGACTACAACCCACAGAATTTGCTCAACAAGCTCGACCATGAACGACATTATCCGCTCATCAAGCTCGCCCGCGACGACGACCTCAATAAGCGGAGGGACTAAATGTATGGGCCAAAAATTATCTTAGTTATGATTAGACCTAGGGGTGTTCATAAAAACCCGAAAAATCAAACCAAACCGACCAAAAAAATGATATNCGATTTTTAATTGAGTACTTAAATTATTCATCACTATTTGAGTCAATTATCATCAATATATCTTAGTAAATGATAGATTTCTCAAAGAACAATTGATTTGATAGCGTTACGTTGAAAATGTAGTCGCCGGAATATGCGTTGGTAGTGTATGTCTTATATTTAAGAAAAAAACGATAAATAACCGAAAAAGTCAAAAAATCGACAAAAACTGAATCGATAAAAAACTGACTTAATTGGTTTGATTTGGTTCCAATATTTAAAAAAATGACTTACTTGGTTTTGTTTCTTTTTAGGAAAAAATTGACCCAAACCGAACCATGAACGCCTCTAAATTTAGACCATATCAACATTAAGAGGGCCTTCAAGGGTTGCCACGTGTCACCAATATGACTTCGACATAGGCATGCTCAAGGTCGGAGTGGTCTCATGAAAGATGAAGGGCGGGGTCGAGGAGTTAACGTAGATCAAGGTCGAGGACGAGCACTCATCTTAAACAGAGTAATAACGGCTAGTTTTAGGATAAGACTCAAAAAAGAATATTCTACTGGATATTCTTTGTACCTGTATTATTAGGGTTTTTAGGCACATGTTCCCTTATAAATAGAAAAAGACATAGTGATAGGGGACATGAAATATTCATTTGTAAGACAACACATTGACATTCTCTGTAGAATCTTGATTTATTGCACATATACAAAATATATTTTTTTCTTAAGATTTTTGTCTAACTTTTCATCCACGATCCAAGAACGATCTGAATATTCAAATCAAAGACTTATCAATCATTCATCATTGTCAGAAAGAATACCCACGAATCTCATCCTTTTCGGGTGACTCACATGCTCTTATTCACTTAAATGCCATTAATATCTATTTATTGTGATTTAATGCTATCTCCTTCATTTTTGAGTCATTGAATATTGCAAGTGTTATCATCATTTATTACTATTTAGACAATATATGTACTATCTTACTATAAAATCGGTTATTATATCTTTTAGATATTAATAATGACTATGATTGACTCTATTTTATTAAATCTAATTGTTTAAATCTAGATCAAAATTTTAGATCAAATAATTATGAAGAAGTAAAAGTAAAGTGAACGAAAGTATTTATTATTTCTCAAATAAAAAGAGTCGATTTTTGCCATTGGGATTAGACTGGAGGAGGGGCCAACAATGTCGAAATATCTAGAACATGATTGCATTTCATCAGTTTTTTAGTAAGAAAAGGAAATAAAAGATTGAAAAACAATCTCATCCAAAACGTTGACGACTGATCTTAAAGATCATGTAAACCCATAACTTATCATTTCTTGTCATCATCTACGGTGGCAGACCCAAGTGGTGGCTAGCGGGTTCAATTAAACCCGTTTCACAAAAAATAATATTGTGTATATGTATAAATTAAAATTAAAACTGTTTAAATTTTGGATAAATATTTTATTTGAACCCACTTGACAACTACTATTTTACGACTAAATTTATATACTTCTAAGATTGAACCTACTTGCACAAAATTCTGGATCCGCCACTGATCATCTATGTCTAAGGTATAAGGCTACAAAATAGTTTCTACATCATGGAAAAAGAAAATTAAAAAATAGGATGACGGACTCTCTCTCGTGTAGTTAGAGGCAGATCCAGAACTTAAGCTGTATGACTTCAAATGCAATATATTTTTTAATTTATAGGATCATATCTACTATTTTTTATAATTTTAATAGAATTTTACAAATAAATTTAAATTCCGTATAAAAAATATTAGGTTAAGATGAACCCGTTTAACGCTTCATCTGCCCCTGCTGTGGTCACGGCATAAAGGCCATGAAATTATGCTACTAGTTACATTTTCTTTATTAGGACAAAGGTTTTATGATGTTGAGAACATAAAACTTCGTGGTAAGATGTGTTTGTTTCTTCTTTTAGTGGATTTGTTCGACACAGATTTGAATTTATTTAATGTGGGATTTTCGAAACGCTAAAGTCAGTATCGAATGAGAAATTAATTTATTTTTTTTTTGCCATTTTAATTTAGACACTACAACAACGTGTTTAATGGATCGTTAACTCGTTCACCTTTAAAAGGTCCAAAATTCTATATACTATAATTGGTGTCACATAATCACCACTTATATTGACTAAAAGAGTAAAAAAGGAAAGATTAGGAAAAAAGAAAAGAAAAAAATAGTAAATTTTTTTTTAAACAATTTCTTTTCAGTTATTACTCAAATCAAAACCGAGTACATCAGAAATAAAAGATGGATAGACAAACTCTTATTCCCATCGAACCAGACATAGAAATAACTGTCTTAGCTAGAACATAAGCTGCTTGATTTGCTGATTTTCTAACTAAGAAAAAGACACTAATTGAAAATCCTTCATTAGTGGACAAAGTTACTCACCAATACCTAGCAAAATAGTCAAAGGTAGAAAGCAAACTCCCACCATCATTAAAAAAAAAATATAAACTATAATTTAGAAGGGCAAGTCATTCTCAAAAATGTTATTTAGAAATTAGTCAATATTTATTCTGTTCTAAAATTTTAGACTAAAAATTTTAACTTCAGGACAATTCAAGATATTTTTGTCTTGAAAAATTGAACCGAAAAACTAAAATTTAGGACGCACTGGCTAATTCCTAAATAACATCCCTTTAGAGTGACTATCTAGTGTCATTTCTACTAATTTAGATCCCAACAAATATATTTTTTTCACTTTTAATCCATGCCAAAAATTATTTATATTCAATAATCGAAAAATATATAAAATTTATATATAACATACAAAATATATATATAAATAAAAAATAAATATTTTTTCGATTATTACTTTGAGAGGGATCATTTTCGCTTCTTTTTTTAAATACAGTTATCTATGAGATCTTTTACTTATATCCCTTTATCAAAAGCCAAAAGAAAATCACTTTCCATTTCCTTCCATCACTTTCCAGCTGGTTGAGGATTTTTGGGTTTTTGGATCCAAAGCCTTCTCTTTTCTCTCTCTCTCTCTCTGAATCTTGAAATAGTCCATCTGTCTGTCCATGCCATCAACCAGATCAGTCACAGAAATTAACTTAATAAAATCCTAAAGCTGACATCTGTGAAGCTGTAAATGGACCAACCTCCTATTGTCCATATCCCAGGGTAAACCTCTATTCAGGTATAATACTTATATGTTACTGATTTGAAGGTAAAAATTCTTCCTTCTGGACCAATTTTTTTTTGGGTGTCTTGTTTTTTGAGGAAAAATTCTTTCTTTGAACATTTGGTCATGTTTTTACACTATTTTTGTTATATGGGGTTCTTAAGAATAGGTGACTTGTTCATGGTTTTTAGTGAATCTTGAAGTTTTTTCCCTAAAAATTGAATCTTTGATAAGCTGAAAAAAAAGGAGAAATTTTAGGGTTTTTTAGAAAATCAATAGGGTTATTTGTATTGTTTCCTCCTATGTATTCTCCAAGCATAAAAACTGAACCTTTGTTGAGCTAAAAAAGGAGATAATTTGGATGTTTTAATGAATCAATAGGGTCATTTGTATTTTTTTTTTGAAATATGTATTCTCCAGGCATAAATATTGAAAATTTTGTGAGCTAAGAAAGGAGGTATTTTTTGGGTGTTTCAAGTGAATCTTGAAGATGTTTACAATGGTTTAGTGATGTTTTTATGCCTAAAAATTGTATCTTTGTGAGCTGAAAAAAGAGATAATTTTGGTTGTTTCATATTAATCAATAGGGTCATTTGTATTTTTTTTTCCTCTTATGTATTCTTAATAACACATAAAAATTGAAGCTTTGATCAGCTGAAAAAAGAGAGAATTTTGGGTGTTTCAAGTGAATCTTGAAGGTTTTTAGAGGGTTTAATTTGGTGATGTTTTTATGCCTAAAGATTGAAGCTTTGATGAGCTGTAAAAGGAGATAATTTTGGTTGTTTCAAAATAATCAATAGGGTTCATTTTTAATTTTTTTCCTCTTTGTATTCTCCAGGCATAAAAATTGAACCTTTGTTGAGCTAAATAAGGAGATAATTTTCAGGTTCGAACCCTGCGCTATGTAAACTAAGTCTGGTATTTAAGTGGAAAATGATAGAGAGACGGGCTCATTATCCCGAGTTCGTAGGTTACAATCGCGTTCCTAAGGGTTGGTTCCATACGGATTTCTCGGTCATTAAAAAATAAGGAGATAATTTTCAGGTTCGAGCCCAGCACGATGCAATCTAAGTCTGGTATTTAAGTGAAGAAGAATCACTATCCTCAAATTTCGACGGTTACAGTTGTTTCTAAGGGTTGGCTCGAGACGGATTTCTCGGTCATTCAAAAATAAGGAGATAATTTTCAGGTTCGAGCCCTGCTTCATGCAAACGAAGCCTAGTATTTAAGTGAAGAAAGATAAAGAGGCGAGCTCATTATCCTCAGGTTTCGACTGTTACAATTGTTTCTAAGGGTTAGCTCCAGACGGATTTCTCGTTCCTTAAAAATAAGATAAGGAGATAATTTTGGGTATTTTAAGTGATCAAATGGGGTCATCTGGATTTTTCCTCTTATGTATTCTTCATTCTATGGTGGCCTTAACATCTGGAGGTTTAATGATGTTTTATAGCAATGAGGTATTTATATTTAGTCATGGCAAAGAACGTGCTAGTAAACTTCTGGGGTCAACACCACATGATCAGTTAATAATCCAAATATCAGATTCATTTTCTGGACTGCTTTTATTTGCAATTGGACTTTTCTTGTTCATGGTTGCATTTATAAAGGATAGAGAGTTTCATGGATTCTTTGCTAAGGGATGTATTCTTCTTCATATTGCTATGGCTATTTGGAGAATGTACTTTGAGAGGAAACTTGAAGAGGATCTTGGCCGTGATTGGTTGAGACTTGTTGTTGCTGACATTGCTTTAGGACTTTCTTGGGTTTTCTTTCTTGTTTACTCTTGGAGAGAGAAGTATGATTAGTCTGGTTAGAGTAGCGTGCCCGTTATCCACTGAATTTCGAGCAGTGTGCCACTAGCTCCATTATCATTCGAGCTTCGAACGGTGCACTATTGTGTCCATTATCGCTAAGTTTTGGACGGTGCGTTGTTAACGGTCAGGGGGTTTCTCGGTTATTAAAAATAGTTGGATTAGTCTTTGTAAAGGGCGTGCCCGTTATCTATCGAGTTTCGAACAGTGCGCCGTTGTGTTCATTATCCACCGAGTTTATACGAAACTCGGTGTGCTGCTGACCTTCAAGGATTTCTCGGTTATTAAGAAAAAGTTTGATTAGTCTTTGTTTGCATATTTATATTTTTATTCACAGGACGACAAAATCGTTCTTGTTCAAGTATCAATCAACTACGTCTCAATTCCGAACTAGTTGGATTGCTTGGGGCATCGTATGGATATGCTTGTGTGATAGGAAGCTACGTTGCAAGTTAAGATTTTGAAACACAAATAAGATTGTGTTTCTTTGCTTCAATCTTGAACAGTACTCTCTTCTTCTTTTTTTTGTGGACAAAGTTTGTATAGTACTTCCTTTTCTCCCGTAATTATCTTTGATGTAATTTTGTTGATAGAAATGAGAAGTGTTTGTGATTTCCTTAAGTTGGCTTCTGTTGAAATTTTTACCTTTTTATTTTATAAGACTCTTCAGCACAAGATATAAACTTGAAAGGTAGAACAATTATGAATTGAATTCTTGTATAGGTGGTGCGGTGCATACCTTTCCGTTATGTGCGGGGTCTGAAAAAAAGTCGGACCACAAAGATTTATTGGATGGTCGTGCATTTCTTTAAAAAGCTATTTTCATGGTTAGAATCGATCATATGACAACAATTTCCAAGGCTCCCTTCAAATTGAATTCTTGTATAGCATTATATTATTTCTGATTTTCCTGCGGTCCCCTGTTAACTTATCCAGAGTCAATAGAAACCGTTTTTAGTTGCCTTTTATCTTGAAAGTGTGTTATTTTTATTTTATGTGATTGTACATCTATCAACAAGATTGATGTAATTAGCCTGCTTTATGGATATTCAATGAAAGTGGCTTTGATTAATATAGAGCCTATGACTCAGGAATCTTTAGTAGGTCCCAAATTAGTTCAACTCAGTCTGTCCATTGGTCCACCTAAATCATATTCTTGATCAATTTCAATAAGTCTTTTCTACTGCTAAGTCATTCTTTATAATAACATTTTACTATAATTTTTTTGGAACCAATTGTTCAAATTATATTATAATATATATTCTTTATAATAACACTTCATTATAGTAATTAAAAAACTTTTAAACAAATAAGACTGTTATAAAAAGATTTTACTGTATTTAGAACTTCAACGTTAAGTTTATTGGTGATACCTGTCCTTCAATCTCGTCCATAATATTTTCTGTTAGATCTTTCCTTGCCACAAAAAGGTGAACAATCAGCGCCCCCCACCCCCTAAACCTCCCCAAAAAAAAAAGTTTAGACAAAAATTTAATACTCCTTCCGTTTCAATTTAGATGACACAATTTATTTATTGAGAGTCAAACCATGTGAAATTTAACCAACGTTTTGAAGTGTATTTTTTTTATCCTATTGACATGAAAAATTATAATTTATAGTACTTTTTATTAAGTTTTTAAATATCTAAATTTTAATTTTAAAATATTGAGTTGAGCTAATCCAATTTAGCTCTCGATAAGTAAAACATGTCATGTAAATTAAAACAAACGGAATACCATTTAAGTAGATAATGATAGAATAATAGGTGTTTACCCTTAAAATTGGATAACAATTAAACTTATAATGAGGTTATAAGGATACGCGATTTCACTTAATACCGATAGAAAAATATGAAGATTAATAACATAAATGAACTATAAAATAAAGCGAATCAGTATTGAAACGGAATTCAACCCTTGAGTTAGGGTTCCCTCGAACTGATTGATACCAAGATAGTTAAAAATACAGCAAGATGATGAACAAGAGAGTATAAGCTAAAGAGAGAGCGTTATATTGGCTTTTTTACGTGAGAACAATGTGTCTCACAAATGGTTAATACTCCCTTTTTTATAGTAGAGGAGTTCTACTTATGGTATAACTCTAATTACAGAAGAAAATTTCGTGATTAGCTAATTAACTGTTTCTGATTTGATCCGTTCTGAGATTTACGCCATGATCCTCGACCAGTCATCGAGGTTTACGCCGTGATCCTCGACTAGTCACGGATATCCCGCCTTTCTGTTATTGTGCTATCTTCGATCTTGCTCGATGTTTGTCTTGTTTGGTTTCGATCGCTACTAGCCTCGATCTCGACAGGTACCTCGATCCTGAACTTGGTACCTAGTCCTCGTGATTTAGTCTGTTCCGTTACGAGGCCGTCCTTCGATGCAATCTCCCGGTCTCGGTCAAATAGTAAAATTGGGTGGGCCCGGTTTTAACCGTATACAGATAGTCCCCTCGTTTTTTTGGAGTGTAATGACAAGAAATGAATTGAGCCTTCGATTTTCTATCTCGACCTGTTATGATGTCATCCTTATGACGTAAGCGATGGAAGTGACTGAAACGTCCCGTCTGTACAGTTACCAAGGCATTAAATGCACGTCAGTCGATGGGCGGCCACCGCCAATATTGAACCGTCGTTGTGAAATTTATAAATAGCCCATCTCTCCACCATTTTGAACTTTTACTTTCAGATCTCCTCTCCAATCTCCAAAGCTTTTTATATCTTCTAATTTCTTCATCTGCAAATCTACGATTTTCACGGCTAACCTCTTCTCAAAACACCAAATCTTATTATCTCCATCTATTTTTAACTTCAAATCCATACAAAAATTGCAAAAACATCAAAAACTATTCCTCAAAAGGAAAACGCTTCTTCGTCGCAGTCGGCCGGTGACAAGACACTGGCGGAGCCGTGCCTCGAGAAGTGTGTTCCCGGGGGTGTGTCCTCACTTCTAATTTTAAGACTGATAAAGCCTCATCGATTCCCGATCGATGCAACCCAGTGTCGATGTATATATGCTCGATAACTGAGGGATACCTTAAGCAGGTAAAGAAAGATTGCAACCGGGAGTGTAAAGAGGTGGTGATCCCGACCCCCGAAGAGGACATCACCACCCATGTGGAAGGGTTTCTAAGTGTTTACACTTACCCTTTCACGCTGAGCCCCCTCGACCTCGTCGTCGTTGATTTTTGCCGCCAATATCAAATAACCTTAGGCCAAATCCATCCTTCCTTTTGGCGAATTGTGATTCTGCTCTGATTCTTCGTGAGCAAAGTCGAGGGGATGCCTTTCACCCTCGACCACCTCATCAGGTTATACAGCCCCCGCCTCTATCGAGGCGAGTTAATAAAACTCCAATTCCAGGCTACCAAAGTGATGTTCTCGAGCATATACGAGGACAAGGACCGAGGCTGGATGGGCCGATACGTTCAAGTGAGGACTTCCGACCTAATCCCGGCCGAGAAGATGTCATTTCCCGAGAAATGGAATATGAAGCGTAAGTACAATCCCATTGTTAGCTCTTTATTTATTGTTTTGCTCATTTGCTTCTTCTCATCGATATCCCTTCCGTGATATAGCGGTCTCTTGGATGCCCGGTGCAATTCCTAACCTCAAGAGCTGGTTCGGGACCTGGCCTCGACCTCTTCGTATGCCGAGCACTCATGGCGCGATTTATCAAATGGCCGATGGAAGCCAAAACTCATGGTAAGCCCTTTTTTCACGTCTTTAATGGTTTTATCAAAGCATTTCTTACTTAATTTCCTTTCATACATGCCTTGGCAAATATGCTATTATGAGGCCCCTATCTGGTGAGGGGGAGACTTTGATCCCGGCACCGAAACCGGCAAAGGACAAATAGAGGAAAAAGTCCTCATCCTTCGAGGATCCAGAACCTAAGAAGAAGAAGGCTCGTAAGCTGAGGAAGAGCATCATCCTCCTAACCGAAGAGTTTGTTAGGCGTCTAAGGGAGGAAAACTAAGAAGTGGAAGAAGACGACTCCAGGCTGGTGGCCCGAGGGGGAATGAGCATTGAGGCCCCAAAGGCCACTGAAATGGTGAAGGCTGCAGAGACTCCGTCTCGAGATGAGGGGTTCTCGGGAAGAGACTTGGGCAAAATCCCCGAGTCATCGAGGATTGAAGATGCCTCCTACCACATTGAGCCAACGGTGGGTACGGCTGTCGAGGCCCCTCGACATGAGGAGAACGCCCCAAGTAATTCACTTGGGGCAATAGAAATTGGAGGCTCTCCGTTGCTCCCCTTGTTTTCTAAGGAGATAATTCAAGAGGCTCGGGCCTTGAAGACCCTCTCCATCGAAGGAGCCCACGGAAGGGAAGACCCCATCCGTGATTACTTTACCAGTCTGAGTGACTTGGAGGTCTCGAGGAAGGACTTGGGCAAGGCATCGAACCTTTTCAATGAAGCGTAGCAAGTTCTGAATCGGGTAAGCCTTAGCTCCCCTTGTTTGTATTACCTTTGTGTTCATTTTTCTCTTTTTGTCTAACTTCTTTTCTTCTTTCTACGTAGGCCTCATCGCTTCATCGAGAAGCATTTTCTTGGTCTCGAGTTGAGCAGAGTCGGTACGAGGCCGACATTCCAAGGCTTACCGAGGAGAGGAATTCCATCAACCTTCTCGGTAAGCAAAAAGAAGAACAGATCAAGGACCTCCGAGCCGAGTTGGCCACGACTCACAAAGATCAGACCGACCTAATCGAGTAGGTAATGAAAATCTTAAAAGCTCATGGGCTCGATTCGGGAACGATGGATAACATTTTGATCTCACAGGTACAGCAGAAGGTCGAGAGGATCGAGCAGCTCCGCGGGGAGGTCAACATGATAAAGGCGGAGTCCTTAGGGTGAAAAGAAGGTATAGACCGCTTTGCTGCAGAAAAAGAGACTACTCGAGCCCAATTATCATCGGTCGAAAGTCAGCTTCAAGGTATGAAGGAGAAGAGCTCGGCTCAAGCAAGGAAAATAGAGGATCTCGATGCTCGGTTGTCTTCCGAACTTGCCAAGGACAAATCTGAAGCCGCAAAGGCCAAGGCAGATGCGATCATGGCCGTCTACCGGGCCGATGCTGAAGCCGCTCAAATCCAAGCGAGAGAGGCAGTTGAGACCGCTCAAACTTGAGCATATTGGATTACTGAACTCGCCAAATGCCAATCTCGGAGGGAAACCCTTGAGGAGATCCACGCTCGAGGTTTCGATCTTACCAACGAGATAGTAAAGGCTAGAGAGCATGAAACCGAAGCTGGAGCACTGGCCAGTTTCGATGATGATGATGATGGCAGCAAGAGCGGGTCCGAGAATGGGAAGGACCTCGATGGAGAAGAAGCTGCCCCCGGAGAAGATCAGGAACCTTAGGATTTTTCACTTTTGATCTTTTGTATAGGATCCTGATCGGACCTTGTAAATATTCTCATATATATAAATATCTCTTTCCATTCCGACTTGTCATTATTTTATTTATGCCTTGTGAAAATTTTGTTTTCTTTATGCCTTATGAAAATTTTGTTCATAAGTTCGAGGCTTAGGCAATTTGATCAAAGCCGAACTAGTGTAGTTTTTATAATCGAGTGAGTACTTGCTCGAACTCGGAGTAGGGTGACCCTTAGGTTTT